GAATTTTCCTCACTTAACCCAGGTGAGAATGGGTACCCGGCTATAGACAGCGAAAGATCTTGTCAGTTTGTTAGTGTTTGAGCGCTTAATCGGCTGCTCGCACTGTATGCTTCCCGGGAAGCTGAGAATGTTTCGGAGTGTACTATGGTCTGCTGGGGTATTAATATAGTGTAAAGCGCATAGAGCCTGCTGTTGAGCGGGGATATGCGCTATACAAATGCTATCTATTATTATTATTATTAGAGTCGTTAATGGCATGTCAACCTCTGAGCTAGAGATGACATCTCCAAGTATCCAGAGGCATTGTCAGAGAGAAAGTCAATCACTACGAGAGAATATGCAATTAAAATAAACAGAATAACATATATTGCTATAAACATAACAATATTGTAAAGAGTTTACCTGCATAGACTATGAAGAACAAAGAGCGTTACCGAAGAAGCAGTCTGTAATGCCAGAGTTTAGATTACATTAAAATTAGCACAACATTGAAAAGAATACCTACAGTAACGTTAATTGAAATAATAATATTTTATTATAAATCAAATGTGTGACAGGTTTATAACATGACTTCCGAGGATGAATAATATAGCCGGCAAAATAGATTTCCCTTCTTGAAATTTCTTCCTTTGAAAATCTATGAAATTATCCGGATAATATTTAAACGAAACTGCTGAGCGATGACACTATAATGAAATCTTACCTTAGCACCATGTTGAAATTAATGAATTAGTTGAATCAAAGACGAACCGAGACACACAGCCCTACCCTCACCCTACTACGTCAGGTGCGGACGGAAGCGCCATTTGCCAAAGCCTAATCACATTCCTCTGTTATGACGATAGAAAACATATTTTCTTGACCAAAGGGTTTGAGGTCTTGGGCTGTGTGGTAGGATACGTTAGCACAATTGTTTTAGCCTCAGTCGGGCGCTAAGGGTAAAAATCTCTGGAGGTCTGGAACCGTGGCAAAACTCGTGGGTTGAAGGGTCGTCAAAAGTGAAAGTGGGATATCTCGATTATGGTATTGAAGCTCTTAAAGCTATGTTCGATATGATTCCAGTCTTCAGGTCAGTCCTTTCTGGTGGCTATGGTTTTCCAGGGGCGGCGATACTGGTGGCTTTAGTTTAGTCTGAGTGAAGAGAAGCACATCGGCATAAAAAACAGCCATTTAGTATTGAGGGAAAGGGTAAGACCTACCAGTTGCGCATTCCAAGCACCTGCTAATGAGGTGTAAAGAGTACGAGCAAGAGAGACATATACACGTAACGACTTTCCAAATGTTGAAAACTGAAAGTGCATCAAACGTTCTAGGCGAGCCAGCCTGGAGTACGGTGCTTAACCCTATCCGTACATCGCGTTTTACTAGCGTATCCATACGACGTGGGGAACTCTGTGCCACCCCTTTCCAAAGAGAAAATATACTTGTTAATCCGATCCGTACGCTTCACCTAGCAGTCTGTCAAAATGATTTTTTGAGAAACGCTGAAATTTCAAAGAGATCTTAGCACTAGAGGTATTTTAAAATGTGAAGAATATAACCCCGGGGTACAAAATGACCCCAGGGCGTACAGAACGCGGAACAGCGGCGAAACATAAACTACACAGAGACGAAACATTTCGCTACCTCAGAATTACACATTTCTATCTGACATTTTTTGGCCGTGTTGAGTTACTAAGACCATGAAGTCAGAAACCGAATGTTCTATCTGCTCTATCAAAATGAAAAAAAATTATTCGGAGTCGTTATCAAGATATATGGGGGCTCTCGTGGCCTCTCATTCAAAGGTCCCGGGTTCGAATCCGGGTAGCGACCGAAAAATGTTCTTCTCTAAAACTGTCTCCTTTCAACTCCTTTCCTGCTCTCTAGCAATGTTCTATTGTCTGCTTTCATTTTCACTTTCTGCCCCCACCCCCTCACCTCCTTTGCCCCCTCCTCTGGGCTCCTGACTCTTTCTGCAGCCTTTCTACTACTTCTCCTTGGCTCCTCCTAACTGCTGTCTTTCTGCCACACCTCTGATCTTCTGGTAGGAAAGATCTACATCTAGCCTTCTAGGACAAGGATGAAAAACCTCGGAGGACCCGTGCGCTAGTTGCGCACGTTAAAGATCCCTTGGTGGCCTAAAATCGATAAGAGTAGGCTTCGGCCGCCACCCGGGCAACATTAAAAAATGTCTTACCAGCTGAAAATATTAGGTGTGTCCCACGCGCTCATATGACCTTATGCAGTTGCGAGCGCCGTAAAACGCTTCACAAAAACAAAAACAAATATCAAGATATCAAAGAATTTTATACGAAAAAGCTTGACATGTAAAAAAATAAATTTTTACGTCAATTTTTTTTCTCAAAACTAGGTACTGAGCAGAAATAACTTTGTAATTCTAGGGTAGAGATTTCTTGATGTCGAAATCCCATAGAGTCACCGAAAACTCAGATTTTGACATCCAGAAATTATGTTTCACCTCAGTGTCGTTTCAGTTTCGCTGTTGTTTACTGTTATTTTACATTTAGCACTGCAATACTGTGCATTAAAGGTGTGCTGCTGTATGCGCTTTACTCCTTTCAATGTTATCTGGGATTCATTTTCCCCTGATTTTGACATAGGTTATCTAAATATATTTACATTTTGCTCGCATATTATGAATGGTAACTTCAGATATTTGCATGTCAGATTGTTTGAAGAATAAAACGGTATTCTTCACAAGTGGGTGGTTGGAAGGTGCTCTGGTGTGGTTTGCTCCTTTTTCCTATCATCTGTCGTCCTTATATTCTCTCCTCCTTCTATTGTGTGTATGTTACTCTTTCGCAACACCTCTAACTTCAGGACTTATGTGACCTTGCTGTGTTGCAAGTGCCGTAAAACTTTTACTAGAATATATTCTTGGCAAATAATTAATTATACCAAATGAAAATACCTAGTCCCCCCCCCCCCCCCCCACAAACCCACCTTACAGAAACACCTCTGCTCAGCAGACAAGCCCTCTCAAGGGAGCGGGCGTTATTCGGCCCTTAGCCAACGTCCGTGAGCCCGTATTCTCACTCGGACCTCTTGTACAGACCGGACATGCCCGAAGACAATGCTCTGGAAGCAAACGCGAACAGCACACGCACGTTTGTTAGCGACAAGCTCTCTCTCTCTCTCTCTCTCTCTCTCTCTCTCTCTCTCTCTCTCTCTCTCTCTCTCTCTCTCTCTCTCTCTCCCGTGTAACTTTTTTTTCGCACTCCTTTTTCTTCTCGGCACAATGTCCTGCAGATTAGGACCGCTGGGATTTAAGGCTTAGGCGTATTATCCAGTAAGCTCCGGCGTCCAGTAACACCTACACTCTCCCCTGCCCGCCCCCGCTCCCTGGGGTGTTCTGGTCTCTGTACCGAGCAGACTGTTAGAGCAGACTGTTAGACAGTGTTATGGCAAACTTCGTGGTAACGGAGATGAGAGAGCCTTAATGAGACAGCACACACAGAGTGCACACTATGCCCTGTTAAGGTTTTCACGGCATCACTAGGCACTAGAGTCTGGTCAAAAACATATTAAACAAGAACTGTTTTGATTGACTATAAAAGAAGCACCATAACAAAAACAGACAGAAAGAAAGAAAGAAAAGACAGAAAGAAAGAAACAAATAAGCAAACAAACAAACAATGAAGGAAAGAAAGAAAGAAAGAAAGAAAGAAAGAATGAAAGAAAGAAAGAAAAAAAGAAAGAAAGAAAGAAAGAAAGAAAGAAAGAAAGAAAATCAGAAAGAAAGAAAGAAAGTTGAATGCCATTTTAATCCCCTTTGTATTAACTTGGTTTAAAGTGTCAGAAAAAAAGATACATTCATACATAGAACAATTTTCCAACGTTACGTAATGTACTGTATCACACTAATACATACGGGTGTCTGTGGTGTAGCGCGTAGGTGCTTCGCTGTCTCATACAGAAGACCCAATTTGATTCTCATGTGAGGAGAATTGTTTTCGAATAGAGCCTCTTCTCTCGGTCTTTCTGCTAAGGCGTTGTATTCCTATAAAACATGGGTTGGCCATGGCAGGAAAGGTCGAAGCTCAGTTCCTAAATGACCTAAATTGTGTGGATGGGGGCGTAACAAAAAATACCACCTTCATTGAAAAAAATACCAATACAATCAACAAGCCAATGCTGGTCACCACTGAGCAGCTTCCTGTTTTTTCAGTTTGGGTTGTCGTGTCTTGCTTAAGAACACACCCCACTGACCGCCCACCTAAAAGCCGTGTCACCGACATAAGTTTATGCCTGACATTATAGTGAGTCCGAGCTTACTAACCGTTCGGCCACTTCTCTTTTCAGACCAGCTGGATTTTATAAAGTCCCTCTGTTGGAAAGGAAAATAAAAGACGGGGTTGGGGAGGGAGGGAGCTCCATGCAATGGGAGCATGAAGCATTGACGATTGGGCAAACGTTAGCGCAATGTCTCAATACCAAAAGGAATCGACCGAACTCGCGACTTGGGGTTTTAATCACAATCTGAATGCCCCCTCCCCTCCCTTTTATTTTTATCCTCACCAGTTCACCCATCTACTCATCAAGTTTGCGAAAAGTACAGACTCAGATTTGGTTAGAACATACAAAACATATTATACATGACTGCAAGAATATTATCACTCTAAGTAGCAGCAACAGAAAAGACGAGTGTATAATCATTGCTTTAGAACCACTGGCGGTTCTAACACGTGCCTTTGGAAGTGTTTTGGACTTCAACTGAAACCAACATCTATGGTGCAAGATGTAGACTCTTTGCTGTTGCACGTAGAAGATATGAGTTCAATGCCCGATATGAAAAGTTGTTTCTTTGGTATCTTCGTCTGTCAGCTATGACATTGTATTAAACTAACTCAGCTTGGGGCAGATATTTCAGAAAGGGGTTAAATCAGCCTGCTTTGTAAATGATCTAAATTGTGGCTTCGCAAATGATCTAAATTGTGTTGAAGGGGGTGTCAGGTCAGGTTAGGCAATACAAAACCAAATGGATCTCTTCACTTTATTTCCCTTGAATCATCTGTAGGCTGGGAGAGTGTAGGGGGGCCACACAATATTTTGCAACTCTCTTCCTCCACTCCTCACTTTTCAAAGGTCCTCTGAGTGATGTCCGGCTCGAGACCAGTCCATTCTCTACTGCTGTCTTCACATGTATTTCTATGTCTGCCTCGCTGTCTTGTTCCTTGCACCGAGATGGACAGGAATGTAACCAATTCTATAATATATAATATCAACTATTAGTGAAGATTCTTTTATTTTAGTAAATAGAAACCATTCCCAGACATGTCCAAGGTGCAAAAGGGGAAAAGGGGAGGGGGTACGAGATGTAGGAAGGACACATGTAACAATAAAGAAGAAGAAGAAGAAGAAGAAGAAGAAGAAGAAGAAGAAGAAGAAGAAGAAGAAGAAGAAGAGGAAGAGGAGGAGGAGGAGGAGGAAGAGGAGGAGGAGGAGGAGGAGGAGGAGGAGGAGGAGGAGGAGGAGGAGGAGGAGGAGGAGGAGGAGGAGGAAAAGGAGGAAAAGGAGGAGGAGGAGGAAAAGGAGGAGGAGGAGGAGGAGGAGGAGGAGGAGGAGGAGGAGGAGGAGGAGGAGGAGGAGGAGGAGGCCGTTGCCAAGTTGAGACAGAAAAGTTTATTAATGATACGAAACTCAACTGAAGGACAGTTGGGTATGATCAAAGCCGAAAAATGTTGTCAGTTTGTTAGTATTCTAGCATTTAT